GTGAGTGATTCCAACTGAAGACCATTTAATAGATATGAAGAGGATTTCAGTGGGTTGTTTTATCTTTAGGTTCTGTCAGCCTCAAGCTGGAGTAAAATAAATCATTATCCTTATATACAGCTTTTTTTTTTTAGTTTAGTTTAAAAGCTTCTTGTTGCTTTTTAACAAATACCATTTCTTTTACTTTATGTGTAAGTACATTATCTGCATGTACACATGCACGCCAGTAGAGGGCATCAGATCCAGTTACAGATGGTTGTGAGCCACCATGTGGTTACCAGGTATTGAACTCTAGACCTTTGGGGATGCTGATGCTGCCGAGTATCCCCTCGCACACATTGTTAGCCTGAGAGAAGATCAAGATTCAGACTTCAGGGCCTGGTTTCTTCTGAATGTGTATCACTTTTGTATCATCATAAGCTTGAAAATCACAAGGCAAAACACTGTACCTTGGGGAGCCTGGAAGAGTTCAGTGGTAGCTTTGATAGCTTTTATTTGGAAACCATAACATTTTTTCCCAGATTTCAAAATAACCACATGACTACAAAAATTGGGAAATACAGAAAAATAAGCACATGAAAATATTCATAATCTCAGTGCCCTGGTGAAAACACTTGTCAACAGGGAGACATATATTTCTCTAGTTATTTTATTAGATAAATATAACATTCCATCCTCTTCACTTCAACTACACCTGTGCCTCCTACCCACAGTCAACTACACAGTCTCTTTTTAAAAATTACTCCTGTTATACATACTAGAATAAATATATAAATGTAGCCTGATAGGTCCATTTATTGTTGCCTATTTGTTAATGTTTTATTATTCTATTAGAGACTGCTACTGTGTATTAGATAACCAGTAAGAGGGGTTCTACTGGGGAAGACTAATTCTACCTCTCTCAGTTGCTGTTAGTTGCCCACAGCTCTTTATTTAGAGCTGGAGCTATGTGAGACTACTCCACCCATGTTGTCATGCCAGCTGATGTTGTCATTGTTCAGATCTTATTTGAGCAGCCATATTGTTGAGATTTCATGGATGTGGTTTCCCTGTGATATCAAGATGATACAGCTTTACAGTAGACTTCCTAGTCCTCAGGCTCTTACAGCCTTTCTGCCCCACTTCTGAGATGGCCCCACAGCCTGAGGTATAGGGATTGTGCTGTAGATGTATCAAATGGGGCTGGGCATCCTACAGTCAGTGGTTACCTGCATCTTGTTGTGCTGTTTCTTCTAGTATGGTCTTTGTCTGCTGCAATAAGAAGCTTCTTTAATAAAGAGTGAGAGATGTACTTATCTATGGATAGAAGGATAAGTATTCAGAGTACAGTTAGGATTTGTGCTGGTTTAGGAAAGCAGTAGGAGCATGTTTCCAAGAACCATGTCCTGACTATTCACAAACAGTTGGCTGGATTCCCAGTTGTCATTTCCCTCCTGTTGAGCAGATCTTGAGTCCAATTAGATAGTTATTGGTTACCACCAAGATATAAGTACCACTTTTGATCATTTGGAGAGAATTTGCCTTTTTGTGGTTCACTGGCTTTATAGCTAGGTAGAAGTATTGACTGCTTTCCTCTCTTTAGAGCTTGCATTTCACCTTATGGTAGTGTGAAAACTACTCAGAGTGGAGGCTCTTGTGTCAGAACTTGCTTGAATTCTCCAAGTCTTCTGTTAAAATCTGTAGTATCTTCAGCAATGGGGACTTACTTTCAGATCCTTGGAGGCAACCAAAGACTCTGACTACCTACCCACAGTGTCCTGATCAGCCTACAACTGATCATAATCAGTGATTCTTGAGATGGAAAGCAAGGTGGATGGCGAGAGCAAAAGAGACCACAGGCTGCAGTGAGATTGTTAAAGCAGACTCTAGGGAGGCAGCTTCAGTGAGATAGCTCATTCAAGGGGAGATCAAGGGCTATTTACACCTTTGGATGGTGGGTAAAAGCTTTCAGGTTGAGTAAACATCATTGGCTTGGGATGATGTGCTGAAGATGTCTCATTAGCAAAAGGAGGAATTCCAGGTGCTGCTGGGTATGACCTTATAAGGTAAAAGGAAGCTTACACTGGCTATTTAACTATATGATCTCCTATGGTGGGCAAAAGTGAGGTCATGGGTCTACATGAATTGGGACATTTGGGCCTGGGGAGAGTGATCCTATTCCTGCTGATCTGTAGATGAGATTTCCAGGGTTTGTACCTGCCTCAACCCACTCTTGCTCTAGGCCTCCTTCCCTCAGTTCCACAGATCACTGTCCCCACAAACATTAGTGGTCTATATTGCTTTGAGAGACTCTTGGAATCTCCTGATCCAAACATTTAAAGGAGGTTTCCCATGCCTTGTGTTGGGATTTATTTTTATTTGTTCTATGACTCACAGTGGAGACTTATTGTCTCAGTCACATTGCTCTCGCTCTATCTATCTATCAATCTATCTATCTATCTATCTATCTATCTATCTATCTATCTATCTGTCTCTTTTTATCTCTCTATCTCTCTGTATGTGTGTGTGTTTGATACAATTTTATGTAAATGTAAAGTAATACAAATCCTAAAGGTTATTTCAAACTCTGTAGTGTTATTTATTCCTACATCTTCCATCTCCTTATGTATTGTACATTTGTCCCTTCTCAAATTAAACCACTCCCAGTTTCTCCCATTTTCCTCTTCATATCACCTATTACCTGTATCCTGCTATCCCATACCACTGCCATGTTCTGTTTTCTTTCCTGTTTTTTATGGGCACTATCGATTAATATGAACTTAATAATAATGAGGGTTTTTTGCAGTTTTCTACTTTCTCCAGAACACAAGTCATCTGGACAAAAGAGAAAGAGACAAATATCAGAACTAAAGGGCATCACACATCAAATGGATCTAAGTTTACCTGCAGAACATTCTTTCCCAGTTCTGAAGAATATACATTCTACTCAGCCATCCAGGGACTCTCTCTAAAATAGAGCAGATCCCACGTTACAAAACAAATTTGATGAAACGTAAAATATCCCCATATATTCTATTGTAACACAGTAGAGTTACACTTAAAATCAAAAGCAAAACATCTCTAGTTGGTACAAAACACCTGGAGATTTAACAAATCACTGCTGGAAAATGAAATGCCAAGGAAGAAATCACGAAAAAAGGGGAAAAATTTTCCAGAAAAGCACAACACAACAAAATCATTGGCTCATGTTATTAACTGTTATACAAGGGAAATTTATATCTCTAAGGTCCCACATTTAAAAAAAAATACTTTTGCCCTTATATGTCTGGGAGGTCAGGTCATAAATCTGAGCAACTAAACTGCAGAATGGATAGTTTCTACCCAGTTTTTCCTCTTTGGAAATATCCTCAAAGCTATTTGTGTAGGTTTATGTCCCGCCCATCCTAGGTAGTTGTTAATCTAGTCAAGTGGATAACACGAATTAAGCATTCTATGTGCATTTGGAACTTATAATTTCAGAGAGTATTTCCCTCATCACCAAGGCTGGGAATATGGCATTAGGCAGGCATACATGCAGGCAGTTATGTCGCTAGAGCAATAACTGAGAGCATCCATCTTCATCCTCAACCAGGGAGGTGAAGGGACACTAAGAATGTCTTTCTGAGTCTGGGTTATATCACTCAGAATGATTATTTCTCGCCCCATCCATTGACTTGTAAATTTCACTTTTATTCATAGTTGAGTTCCATTGTGACTGTGAATTGTGTTGTTGTATATGTGAGGCATGTTGGGTTGATGTGTGTGTCCTGCATCTGTCTTGCCATGTGGCTAGGTCCTCTAGTAGGGACAGAGTCACAGGAATTTGACTGTGTTCACTTTATGAGAGTGCCAGGTGGACTTAAGGCTGTGTGAAGCAGCAGGACTCTACTCTAGGGTGGGGAGCACAGTGTGAGGTCTCTGAGAGAGCCAGAGCACTTGCAAGAAAGAGGATCTTGGAAGGAATGCTTAATTGGATATGCCCCTCTGGCTTTTATGTACCTCATCTATATGGAGATCTGTCTTGAGGCTTCTTGGCCTGTAGTCATGCCCTCTACCTGTGGAGGGCCTAGCCTACAGGATTGAAAGCATGGATCAATGGAGGTCTGTGGCCTCCTGTGTGGAGCCTGGATTCTGGCAACATGGCAAAATGCATTCCATCACTTAGAATCACCTAGGGTCGCAGGCGATTTCTAGTTAGTGCTTGACTAGAAACCATGCTGTTCTTTCACAGTCCATCATTTTTGAACCATATTTTCATTATCCATTCATCAGTTGTAGGGCATCTAGGTTATTTTCCTTTCTTGGCTACTGGGAATAAAGCAGCAAGGAACATGAACAAACCTGTTACCTCTGAAGTAGGATCATGTCCTTTGGGTATATGCCCAGGAAGAGTGTCTTAGTTAGGTTTCTATTTCTGGGAAGAGACACCATGACCATGGAAGCTCTTTTTAAAGAACACATTTAAATGGGGCCTGGTTATCAAGTCAGAAGTTTAGTCCATTATTGTCTTGGCAGAAGCATGGTAGCACTCAGTCAGACGTGGTGCTGGAGAAGTAGCTGACAGTTCTGTATCCAGATCTATAGGAAGCAAGAAAAACACTGGCCCTGAGTTGGGCTTTTGAAACTTCAGAGCCCAACCCCACAACACGGGCATACCTCCTAATTCTATCAAATAGTGTTGCACCCTAGTTACCAAGTATTGAAATATATGTGCCTATGGAGGCCATTCTCATTCAAATACAACAAATAGCATAGTAGATCATATGGTAGATGTATTTCTATGGATATATTCTGGAACATCTGTGCTGATTTCCATAGTGACTATACATGTGAAAACATGTTCTCCTATACCACAACCAAGTCAACACTTGTTGTCATTTAGTCTATTGATAATATTCATTCTAACTAGGGTAAGATGGAATGTCAAAGTTATTTTAATTTGCATTTTTCTGATGCCTAAAGATATTAAACATTTTAAGCGTACTTATCATCTCTTTGTTTTTTCTTCTTTTGAAGATTCTTCTTGTTTGCATAAAACATTGGGAGGTGGTATAGAGGACAGGGTCTCTCTACATAAGTGTGGCTGTTCCAGAACCTACTGCATAGACCAGTGTGTCCACAAGCACACAGAGAGCTTCTTGTCTCTGCTGTCTAAGTGCTGATATTCAAGGTATGCACTACAATGTCCAGTCATAGAAGCATTTTAAATCCTTAAATATAAAGTTAAATTTAAGTTTTAAACTTTAAATGCTTTCATTTAAAATTACCTCTTTAAATGTTTAAAATGATAGGGTTCCTGGTGTTTAGTTTTTAACACCATTATATAGTCTAGAAATGAACTCTCTTTTACATGTATACTTGGCGAAGATTCTCCTCCATCCCTTAGGCTTCCAATTGAGTTAACAGTTCATTTGCTGTCTGACTCATTCTGCTATTGCTGTGATGAGACAGCTTGACCAGGCTAACTTGTAAAGCATTTCACTGGAGCAGGCTAAGAGTGTCAGAGGGTGATCCAGGATCACCATGGTGGAGAGGATGGCAACAGGCAGGCATGACACAGGCATGGCCAAGAGAGACAGGTAAGTTTACATCTGATCCACAAGGTGAACAAGGTGAAGGCAGAAGACAGAGAGAGAGAGAGAGAGAAAGAGAGAGAGAGAGAGAGAGAGAGAGAGAGAGAGAGAGAGAGAGAGA